TATGTCCTGACAATCTCATTACCCCCGATCTACCAGTTTGACCTATGTAAGTAGTTGACCTAACTCACAGTCATTGCAGGGTATTTTGTAAATTATAATATTTTGTCAAATTGGGTCAAACGTCAGGGTCCCTTAACCTACAGAGCTTGTCCTATCTGATTGAGTTTAAAGGTGTGAATGTCGCCAGCCTAATTCCTGCTTTGTTATTAAGAATCCTACATAGGTAGTATCTCAGATGTCCCCTTCTTATATAGTATAACTGCTGTAGATGACTTATATTCTCTCTTATTTATGTTATCATTACTAGTTTCAGAATAATTTTTATTTCGCTTTTGGCCTTTTCCGATCTTCCTAGTGAATTTTATAGGATAGTTAGTTATTTGACACCAACGCCTCTTCTTCTGTTTGTTTAATTTCATCATTTAGGCCTATTTTTGTACTACTTAGTGCTACTGCTTGGTTTGTTAGAGACTTAACTTAACTAAGCCTGCCTTCACAGACAGATAACGGACGGATGAGATGAATTAAAGAGGTCTAAATATCTATTAGAAGAATGCGTTGGTTTTTTATATAAACGCCGCTAGTGTGCAGTTTACCTTCTTCTGCTCGTTTCATTTTACAATCTAACATCATAACAGCTAATTCTGCTTGTTTATTTACCGATTCAAATATGAATTTTATTCCCTCTACTAGTGAGTTGATGAGTGTGTGTTTGTCAAGAAGTTTGCAAGTAGTAAGCAGTTATCTTTCCAGTTAATGCATATTGTAGTCAGTGATCGTTTTCTTTAATGATCAATTTTGATTCATATAAGTAGAAGTGAACACATGAAATATCAACAGACAACTTTAAGCAAAGCACATCTACGTGTATAGAGTGTGCGGTGTATGTATGCTCAGAAGCTAGCTGACCCGTACACCGAAGGTTTGTCTGTAAAGAGAGATCTTTATTTTCTATAGTTTGGTTTGTAATGGTTAGTTTTGTTTTTTGCGAGTTGATCACGGATTGATATCAGTGAGTTAGAGAAGCATTGAAAACCAGCCACAGGGAGTACTGGATAGCTGTTTTATCAGCCTAGTTGTGGAATCATCGGCAGTATGCACCCACTGCTCCGGGGTCGAACCCAGGGCCTATTACCGAAAGTCTTGATATCATTTCCAGTCTACTAGGATCAGATACAACGCTATCACTGACAAAGATGTCTACTGGACACCAGTGAAATAATTAAGAGCTTGAAATTCTGTCTAGAAAGTAATTATTTTACATTTAAATGTCAGGGGTTTATATAGACAGACAAATGGTGTTGCTATGCGTTAACCAGTCTCCCCAATAGTCGCTGAGCTTTTCATGAATAGCTTCGATGATAACATCTTTTCAAACATACTCACTCCTAAAATATGGTTAAGATATAAGTGGATGATACTTTTGTAGTGCTGAAACGAGATCTGCACAGTTCATTCCTGTAGAAAATAAACTGTCTATCTCCCAGAATCCAGTTTGCTTTTGGGGGTTAGTCAGATTGTCAGAACATAAGAATTTAGTGGTTAAGGTAAGAATGATTTACCCCGAGAAGATAAGTAAGCTCAGCAATTGCACTGCTTGCATTAACACACAACCGCACAATAGGATGGTGGGAGAGGGTTAAAATTCTAAAAAGTAATCTAGGTAGGTGGGAATTGAGAGAGGTTGATTACTGAATCCTTGTTCATTGAATCTACACCCAACACATGCAATAGGAATGATTCATCACCCATACCCGAAATATGGAAAATACTACTACCAATCAAATCAAGTGAAAAACAATGGAACTATATAAATGAATTTAGGAAGTCGTGTGATTAACTTGATATGATTATGAGCAATAAATTGTGCTCGAAACGTGGTCATCAGTAAATATTACTACTGTATAACACTGTGAGACTTAATCAAAACAAAATTTTACCCATAATGGAGTTAAACTCTACCACCACAGTGCACAAGTTTTATTCTTATATCAATGGTATAAAATGCAATTATGAATAATACATTATTGGAAGTATATTTACAAGATAAATACAAGAAGAAGAAGGAGCTATATAGTACTTGGAATGATAGTATATACATTTGCAATGTGTGATGCTAACCATATTGGTCTAAGCATGGAAACTATGATGTTTCCGATGAAGATAAAGCTTTGTCCAAACATTGGTGTTGTTGTTGTTGTGTTTTTCGTCAAAGCAACCAGACTTTGATCAAGCAACAAATATGAACAAAGAGCAAGTTTTAGCTTCAATAAAGGCATAGGTAGTTAACATAAAATAGAGTGTAATAGTGCGTAAATAAAAAAATTATTGTGAGGCAGGTTAGTGATGTTTTTAAGTGAGGACTGAATTCAAAGATCTGGAAAATTAGAACACGTAGAACAATCTGGCCTGTGAGATGTCTCACTAATTTCTGTAGGGCCCAACGAGTAGCATCTTGACAAGAAGCTGAACAGGCTTGTAGATGGTAGGAGCAAAAGCACTTTCTTTTTATTTATAATTTAGATCTGTACAACCCTTATTATTATTATTTTTTTGTTGAGGGTCCAGACTAATGTTTAATTCAAGTATTGGTTTTTAGGGATTTGGTTGATTGGTTACAGGATTTCATCATGAGCTGACATTGGTTTGAGAACCACTGGAAAACCAGCTGGGACTACTAGACAGCTGTTTCGTCCTAGTTTGGGACTCTCCACAGTACGCACCCACCAGGCTTTAATTCTCGAGCTGTCAAAAAATGCATGTTGCTATCTATTTGTGAAGAAGTTGACTGGAGTGTAGCAATCGATTATCGGCATTTCAGAAGTGTGATGAACCACTCCAAAGTGGTAAATATATGATAGAATGGTCTTATCGTATCTCACCTTGATCACCCTGAAATCTGTATGGAAATCCATTGCAGTCACTATAAAGAACAAGGTTCGGATTTTCAACACAAATATTAAGTTTTCAGTCAGTCAGTCGCTCCTCTGCTTGCTCCACTGATGGTCCTCAGTTCTGTTTGATTTTTCCGTTAAGCGTTGCTTGGCACATATACCTTCTGGTTTTAATTTTTGGCGACACTCTATGATGTCTGGGCCAAGGAATAGACAAGGCAGCTTGGACGCGACCACTGGAGTGTATCGATAGTGAAATTGTAACAACAGAAAGACGAGGGCCAGCCAAACAGATCGTTTATTTACGAAATCAACGCATATTTATCGATCTTCATGGACATTATTATCATAGATTATTGTTAGCAGACAAACACGGTCTTCTGATTGGCTGTTTTTTGAAGGTCAGATCATCTATCTATCTGCTAATGGTAACGCCTACACAAAAACAAAGTGTGCTGTGATTGGTTGTTGGTTGAGTCAGTCAGTCAGTCTTTGTTCTTGTTCTTATTTTTCTCATGATCAATATTTGGGACATAAACATCGACGTAAATTACTGTCTACCAATTTTGGCTAGGCAGACAGCTCTCACCACAAAATGATTCGTTTTTATTGATAAAATCCCTGGGGCTATGGTTGATGTGTGTGTGTTTGTGATGAAGATTGTTTTTTTCGAGGAGAAAGTTGCGTGAATTCGAGGCATAGTCTTCTCTGATGGGAATTCAGTTGACACTATCGTCACTTTGTGGAGGAGATTGTGAAGTGATTGATGTTGAGGGATATGTTGAGTGATGAAATAATGCTGATTTATTAATTGAGGCATTGTGCTGGCGCTGCTGCTGTTAGTGTGATACAGTTCTGTAATTTCTTGCCTCTCAAGGAGGAATGTGATGCCCGGAGGAGATCTGGAAGGCCATGCATGGTTTCTAAAAGGGTCCTTGACACATGGTCAAGGACGTTATGATCAGCAGTTAAGAGAGGTGATCTCAATTTACATTTTTGGATAACTTGATGACCTGTAGAAATATCTCAACATATATCTTTGAATTACATGAACGATTTGTATTCGAGTTCTGTTATTGGTGGGGGCGGGGGGATAATTGCTAGACGTCTGTCTACCTACTCGACTGAAGCGAAATCGAGTGAAGATCAGCATCCGCTCTTTGAGGATGACAGCGTCGAGCATTTGAATTTTGATGGCATTTTAGATTCGTGGAAGAAGTAAGTAACTTGTCAGAATGTTGTGATGTACATGAATTAAAATAGAATTTTAAGATTATTTATTAGAGCATCTCTTCGACCACAGAGAAATCCGGTTGAACTAGAAAAACTTGAAAAATCATCAGCCAGCCATAGGTCGTCTACACGCTATAGAATCAGGCCACGAAATTGATTTTGACAATATTGAAATCATCATTCAGAAAAAGCATTTCAGAAATCACAAAGAACGTCTAATATCAGAAGCACCTCATATCATCGAGAGGAATTCAAAGTGTCTGAACTGAATAGGAATGATGGACTAAAACAGAATCTGACCTGGTTACAACACCTCCCTCCCCCCATGAAGTGACAAAATCAACACGAATGTGATAAGCATGTTCACTAAGTTAAAGCACACACTGCTTTTATAATTTTACACACTGATCAAATCCAACAATCTACACTTGGTTTTGTTATCTTTACAAATTAACCAATTTGACAACGAAAAATGACCCCATACTGACGAACGATGATCAAGTTAGTAAACTTTGTTTTGATACCAGCCAGGGCAGATGTACTATTACCTCTGTTATTTGGTTTAGTCATTCATCTTCAATATGTCCTCCTTTTAACTTGACCTAAGTAGTCAAGTCTATTTTCTCACCCACCTCTTAACTCTTTGTTATATATGTATGCTGAGTGGATTTTGTAAATTCTTCTGGTTTAATAATACTGCTTTGATAAAGCTATTATAGCAGCAGCATTAAATAGCGAAACGTCAGTAAGAGCAACGATAATATCGTTTTGCTCTTTTTCATTCATTCACTGGGAAATACAAACAACCTTTATGATAATGAATATCATATACCACCCAACGCCCAAATGTTTTTTCAAACTGTTAAAAGTGAACTTGGTTTGGACATATATATATATAATATATATTTGTATGTATAAAAAGTTTACAAAGTGTAATGTTGTAATGCTTGGCTTATTGTTAATACATTCTCTTTTTTGTTGTTGCTGTTGTTGTTTTGTGTTCCTAATTCGTTGTATTCCCATCATTTGTTCCAGTTGCTGGAGTCAGCTGTTGTTGTTGATGATGATTTAAGCTTCGTTTTAGCTCGGCATTTTCAGTTTCCAGCAATTCAAGTTTTTGTTTCAATTCTGCAATCTCTAGCTTCATTGCTTCAACATCAGAAGGATCTGGACCTTCAGCTTGTAAATGTTTCTTCATAAATCTAGACAATAATCAATAATAATAATAATAACAAATCTTCTTTTAAAAAATCCAACCAGACACACAGAGCATATTCAGCTCAAATAAAAGAAAAAAACACAAAGATAATCCCTTTATGATAAATTTGAACAGTATTCTTTAGAAGACGAAGATTATTTGGAAAGGGATGCAAGTGTATTTTCGCAATATTATTATTATTATTGTTTCCTTTAATTCCTAGAGGAACATAAGGCTTCAGCCGCTCACGTCTCCATTGCGTTCGGTTCTCTGCTAGAGTCTTCACCTGGCTCCAAGTCTGCCCACACGTTTTCATCATCTCTTCACATGACCTCCTCCAAGACACCCTTGGACGACCAACTCGCCGTTTCCTTTTCGGGTTCCACTCGAGCAATGGCTTGTCTAGTGATGTCACTTGATGGTTTGTTTTCTCAGAGTATGGCCAATCCATCTCCATTTCTTCCTGCCTATTTGTTTCACAATCGGTTCCTGGTTGGTTCGCTCCCAGAGATCCCTGTTGCTGATCTTTTCTGGCCATCCGATCTTGAGTGGTATTGAGCGAAGACAACTAGCTGTTGATGAAGGTCTGTAGTTTGTTTGAGATGCTCTTTATGACGCACCAAGTCTCTGATCCGTAAAGTAGCACTGACTTCACATTGGAGTTGAAAATCCGGATCTTATTTTTCATACTGAGTGCTGTCTGTTGACCTCCACACAGACTTGAGAGTAGTGAAAGCTTGTCTTGCTTTCCCGATCCTCACTGCTTTGTTATCCTCGTCAGTTCCGTCCTGTAGTTGAAACGATGCTTCCCAGGTAGGTAAAAGAGGTTGTTTCTTTCAGGTTCCTCCCATTTATGCTGATCGTTGTCTGTTGTCGTTGTTCTTGTCCAGGAATCTTCATTACCTCTGTTTTCTCTATGTTCACCTGAAGTCCTATCTTCTGTGGATGCTTCTTCTCCCAACTTGTTGCTTTTCACTTGCATATCTTCCAGTTTGTGGGAAATCAGACATATATCATCGGCGAAGTCCAGATCCTCCAAGTCGTTTTTGTGTGAGTCCATTTTATGCCTGTTTCCTCGTTGCCTGCGCTGTTTGTCGCATTATCCAGTCTACTGCAATCAGGAAAATCATTGGCGATAGTAGGCAGCCAGCTTGTCTTACTCCCGTCTTCACTTCTTCGAAGGATTCCGTAAGTTTCCCGTTGTGGATTACTTGGCATGCAGCATTGTCGTACAACTGTTGAATGAGATGTATAATTGTCGGTGGCACCCCTTGGTAGTAGCGAAGTAGTTGCCAAATCACCTCTCGATCGACGCTGGGCTATCGAAGGCCTTTTCAAAGTCGATGAAGTTGAGATAGAGAGGTGACTGCCATTCCAGGCTCTGTTCAATGATGATCCGTAATGTGCGATCTGATCTATAAGGCTTGTTTCTCCTGAATCCAGCCTGTTCCGCAATATTGATATGAGCATAAAACGTGGGCACTGTGATAGAGTATAGGTCTATTATGGATAAGATTTTAAAAAACTAACCGCGTCATAGAACGAAGCTACCCATTGAAGAAATTATGTTAGGAATTCAGTTATGCCTCACATCTACTATCTTTAAATTGCAAGGCAAAAAATATTTAGACAAACAGAAGGTGTAGCCATGGGATGGATCACCAATATCCCCTATCGTAGCAGATAAATTTATGGACATTTGGGAAAACATTGCTCTTAATACATTTAATCGCACTCAAAAAACGTGGTGCAGATATGTGGATGACACTTTCTCAGTGTTGAAAACAGAACATATCTCTAGCTTCTTGATACATATAAACTCACTAGTAGAGGGAATAAAATTCACATTTGTATCGGTAAATGAACAAGGAGAATTAGCTATTTTAGATTGTAAAATAAAACGAATAGAAGAAGGTAAACTGCACACTAGCGTTTATTAAAAACCAATGCATTCTAATAGATATTTAGATTTTAATTCATCTCATCCGTTAACTGTCTGTGAAGGTAGGCTTAGTTAAGTTAAGTGTCTAACAAACCAAGCAGTAGCGCAAGAAAAGATCTAAATGATGAAATAAAACAGACAGAAGAAGAGGCGTTCGTGATGAATAACTAACTATCCTATAAAATTCATTAGGAAGATCAGTAAAGGCCAAAAGCGAAATAAAAATAATTGTGAAACTAGTAATGATAACATAAATAAGAGTGAATATAAGTCATCGCGTTATACTATAAGGAGGGGACACCTGAGGCACGCCCTACGTGGGATTCTTAATAACAAAGCAGGAATTAGAGTGGTGGCATTGAAACCCACAAACTCAGTCAGGTAGGACATGCTCTGTAGGTTAAAGTATCCTGTCGGTGGACCCAATTAGATAAAATAATATAATTTACAAAATACCTTGCAATGACTGTAAGTTAGGTCAACTACATAGGTCAGTCAAACTAGTAGATCTGGGGTAGTCAGATTGTCGGAATATGAGAATTCAGCTAAGGTAAGAGTGGTTGGCACCACGCGAGAAGATAAGTAATTTGGAAAAAAGCTGAGCACTACATTGCACTGCATGCATGCGTTAACACACAACCACACAATAGCATGGTGGGTGGGAGAGGGTTAAAATTCTAAAAAGTAATCTACGTAGGTCTGTCTGTCTGTCTGTTTTCGACATAGAACTTTGCACCGATGTGCACCAGTTCAAGTCGCCACACTCCATGTAGCACACAAAGCAAGAGAAGAAGGTAGGAGAAATGCACAATAGAGGGAAAGTAAACAGAGGTGTGGTGAGACAAAGGAATAGTAATAACGAAGAACAAAACAGTTTCATTGGAAATCATAAGTCACAAGGAGTGGATGCATCTGCGCCATTGAGAACGATGAGTTTGAGCCATGTCACCAATTGTTTCCAACCATTGGTTTTGTACCGTCCCAAGGACCCCAACCAGTCAGGAAGTCTACACCTTCCTACGAGGCTTAGACTAACTGTTGTAGATTTCATTGACTGGTGAGCCATGTTTTAGTTTGACCGCCGCTAGCTCTTTTCCAGCCTGACTCTATATCAGCTAACATTGCCCATTGTCGAGGAAGCCAACCAAAGACTGGTCATACGTAATACATGTCCTAACCATCTCAGTCGATGTAATTTCACAGTCTCGTCGATTGACTTCCCCTCCCACCTACCTAGCACTCAACCGACGCCTAACCTCGATATTGCTCACCTTATTATACCACTTCACACGGGAGATGGAGCGTAGACACCTATGACCAAAGACAGGGATGGGGTTGCTATCATCATATCCAACCCTCACCTTTGCGATGACGTAATGAGAAAGATTGCTCCTTTATTATAGTGTTAAGAAATAGTTAACTATATAGTGGATAAATTTGGAACTGTCACCAATATAGACCTCATAGTTTGATAGTCTGAAGATGGTAAGCTACTTCGCTCAAATACGAGCAAGTCTATCGCGCCAATTCAGAGGGGGGGGGCATTAATGCACTCTCTAAAGTGTGCAACAGTTTAACTTTTCGAAATTTAAAATTCTCTAAACATGAATCCAATGAATGAATATGTAATACTGTAAATGGAATTAGATGTCATAATATGAGTCACTCCTTAACGTGAAGGGGATCAAAGTTGGTGACGAATAGTATCAGGCCGTTGGGATCCACATGGAGAAGCCTAATTTATCCGTCCAAAAGTAGTTGCCTAGTTCAGACATTATCCCCACTTTGGCTATCTAGGTTTGAATGATCCTGAATTTTTGTGAAATTTTCGTAATTTTAGTTGATATTCTATTTGCTACTATATCTTTATTATTATTATTATTATTATTATTATTTAATTTAAGCATCTTTAATGAACTGTGGTGATTCCATTGTGATCTTACTTTACAAATCGATATTACTATTTAAAAAGGACACACTAATATTGTCATTGACTACTAATCTAGAATATTCTATGTATATAACAGACATGCATATATAGATATAATTGTAGAGCGAGAAGAGGAGGAGGAATTTATCGAAAAGGGGGATATTCTTTGCTGGCTCAATTATGCATTTTGTGTTTTATAGATGTCTGAATGAATATTTTTGCTTTATTGATAATCTCTTTCTCTCTCTCTTTTGTCAGTAAATCAGTAGATGCACACTAAAAACCGTCAATAGCAATTCAAATCGATAAATGAGTTGCTAAACATGTCTCTATTTTCTTTAAAAAAATTAAATCACAAATTATTTCACAACTACACTATACTGAACATTAACAAAGAAGCAATAAGAACACAGTGAACAGAACAAAATTACGTTTTTCTTATTTTAGTTTTTGTCAGCTGCGTACAACGAGGAAAAATTTAATATCACTTTACAAAATATTAAAATAATTTGTGAGGATTACAAACCAAACTATAGAAAATTATTCTGATGCTCGCTAGTGACTTGCTACAGGTTGGAGCTTCCTGGAGTTCTAGTGAGAAGTCGTGACCAGTGAGGTCCAATTAGAAGTCACGTGTGTGGATGGATGTCCCACCAACGACAATAGTTGGGGTCGCGCTAAAATCACGAATTGGTAGAAGTTAGAATTCATGAGCCATTGAATCGAGTCCCAGTGGCTGAATGGTATACGAGCTTGCCTTGTAACCGGAAGGTCCTGGGTTCAAATCCCAGTGGATGCGTACTGCCGATGATTCCCAAACTAGGATGAAACAGCAGCTGTCCAGTACTCCAGTGCTGGTTTTCAATGGTTCTCTAACTGATATCAGTCCGTGGTCAACTCGTAAAACATAACTAATCCTTACAAACCAAACTATAGAAAATTAAAATAATTGTATTTTTTCAATTAATAGTGTTCTCTGAGCTGGTTGGTTTAGTTGAGGAGCTTTCGTCGTCCCCCCCCCCGGGGCTGGACAACATCCCCCTTCAGCGCAATTTTTAGAATAAAGTGAACTGATTTAAATTTCTCCATGAGTGGTGATAGAATTGCGTGCGTCTCCCGGTAACCATCTTTA